CTGAGCCCTTCACCTGTGAGATCTGATGCTCTCTCCTGGTAGATAGTGTCAGAATTGAGTTGAATTGTAGGACACCCAGGTGGTATGGGAAATGACTCGGTGGTGGGGGAAAAACAGTGTAATTGGTGTTAGAATCGTAACATGGGATGCTAGATACTGTTATGGGTAAAGTCACAGTCTAATGTATAGTTAGGAGGTAAAATGTGGCTAAAAGAACAACACAATTAATAAGTAAGTCCTAAATAGTAGAGACAATTTAAAACAACATCATTAAGATAATACTGAAACTCAAGGTTAATTTAAACAAAACAAAAGTCAAAAGTCTGGATGAATACATGAAATGATGACAAAGGCTTTGGAGTGAAGAAAGATAGTTTCATTATAGCTATAGTTATATAGATAGTTATAGATGTTCATTAACTTCTTGTAAATAATTATTTTTCAAGTTAAAATATGTAAAATGTAAATATTTTAGAAAAATACATGAATCATGGAAAGAGTAAAATCCTGCCCCATCCCATTTTCATCCTCAATCCTCACTCCAGAGAGGCAATCATTTTTAAATCTTTAAGTGTTAATACTTTTACATTTTCATGTTATTTACTTTTGTATCTCTAAATACCATACTTACATTGTCCTTCATTTAAGACTTTGTTCTCCTAAAATGTGCAAATTTTGTTTCCAGACACACCCCATGCATGTATGTCACACACACGCTCAAACCAAGGTGTTTATTTGGCGAATAATTCATCACTCTGATGGTTAGTACTTGTATAATTATCTGCAGGTTTTATACCTCACTGAAAGGTTTATTTTTAAATGGACAAGATAACTACTGATGTCAAGTATCTTTTAATGAGCTTATTGGCCATTCTGTATATTCTTTTGTGAAGTATCTGTTCAAACCCTGTGTCTAGTTTTTGTTGTTGTTGTTTTTAGAACCTGGGCTGTCTTATTAATAAGTCATGAGTGTTCTGAGTATGTTCTGAATATAAGCTGAATATATGTTTAGCAAAAACTTTTCTCCCCATCTGTGACTTGCCTCCTTGTGTTCCTACTGTCTCTTTCAAAGAACAACTATTTTAAATCTTGATAAAATCAATTTTATCATATTTTTTTTCTTTTAGAGTTTCTGTTTTTGGTGTTTCGCCTCATCCAATGTCGCAAAGATTTTCTCTTATGCATCTTCTAGAATTTAATTGTTTTAGCACTTACGTTTAGGTCTATGATCAATGTAAGTTATATATGTTGGGAAATAGTCAAAGTTTAATTTTTTCATACAGATATCTAGCTAATCCAGCACTATTTGTTGAAAAGACTATCTTTTCCAATTGAATTACCTTGGCATCTTTGTCAAAAATAAATTGACCATATAAGTGGGGGTCTATTTTTAGACTCTCAACCTGATGCATTGATCTCTGTGTCTATCCTCACATCGATACCACACAGTCTTGATTACTGTTCGACTTGCATTTGCGAACGAACAGCTGCTGAAACCACTTGTCATTTAACAACTGCTTCAGATTCTATAACAGCCTGCGATCTACCTGAGCACGTCCATCTTATCGGTCTTTCAGAAGACCATCAGAGAACAGTATAGCTGAAAAGAATGTGTCATCCGTAGCTGTGGAAGGAAGGGACTCGACACTTTGAAGTAGTGACAGCAGGCAGCGCTGAGGCAATAGCTGTGACAGCAAAAGCGCTGAAGCCTACATATTTCAGGCAGTTCCCAGGAAGCAACAGCTGTGCAGAACACTCAATTGAGGGGTTACTAAAGCAAGGCTTTCCAACCACTTCTGGGTTAGTGCTAAGGTCCACTTCAAGCAACGTGAGGAAAGCCTACAGTAATTTTTAGGAGAGTTTTAGCATAGTTACATTGTAGTTAAACTTGAAAATGTTTATCAAGCATTTACTAGTGGATGTAAAGATTAGAAAGATAGATTGGGTAGGTTAGATGATGATGAGAGATAGATTAGATAGATGATAGATATGATAGATGATAGATAGATATGATAGATAGATGATAGATAGATATGGAGATATGAATATTAAAAAGACAAGGTATTGGTGTTTATGGTGAAGTCTAGTAACAGACCGATAATTTCAATAACATGTTAAAGTAAGGATGAGATGTATGCACTGGGACACAAGACCACAGAGCAAGGTAAGTAGCCCAATTCAATGATTTAAAGAATATTTCCTTAAAGAGATTAAAACTAAAATTAGGCCTGAAGGATATTTATGCTTTAACCATCTCCCTGATATGGTGATTTCAGGGAGAGATAAGAGTCTGAGCAAAGACCTCAGAACAGCCTACTGTGTGCATCTCTAGGGGGCAAACAAACGCTGTGCATGGCAGATGATGAGGCCGGAGATCTAAGTGAGCCAGATTATGGAAGTTTTCAAGACCCAGCTTTATTGCTATCTCCTCCAGGAAGCCTCCTTTCAATTAGCTTCTCTACCCCACACCTTCTTGAGCTAGGATCTACCAATTTCTCCTCTTCTCATCCTCACTGCTTTGCATTCTCTTTGCCCAATTCCTGGCCTGTGTCTGTGTCACGACTGTGGGACCCGTGTGGGAAGTGATGAGTGCTGTGTCCCCAGCATCCAGAACAGCACTCAGATCCAGCAGAATCACGAAATGTGCTGACCACAATGCTAACTCAGTTTGTTAGAACAGCAACCATTTACTAAATATATATATGCCCACTTGCTGTGTTCCAGGAAGTTATCAGAACAAGTTGGAGGAAGGAGTTAGGCAGGCATTAGGAAGAGAAATTAAGAGACATGAGTTCTAGCCCTGGCACTACCCTCTTATTGGATTATTTCAGACCTCCTGTCATCTGCTTGCATAAGATTGAAGAAGATATTACATTATGTCAGCACCTGGGTATCGGACACCAAATGGCAT